AACTGATGATGTTACCTAGTTGGGTAATGAAATGTCTGCAGTCAAACAACCAAGCTCAGAGAGCACCAAGGACTCCACAACATACCTGTGATTACTCTTATGAGTACTGCTCAAATGCAGCTCTAGTTTTCCTCCAATTTCCATGTTAAGAAGTACAGTTGGGTTTGTATGTTCCTGACTGAATATGACTGAGCTTGTCACTCCAATGTTTACTTCAGGTCAACTCAGATCAAAACCTACTCATGGGATAATGCCCAAGTACTGTTGGTGGGTAACAAGTGTGACATGGAAGACGAGAGAGTTGTATCATCAGAGCGGGGACGTCAGCTTGCCGAGCACCTGGGTGAGTGAACAACAGTTGGAATGATGTGTGTATGAGCTATAAAGATGGGTTTGAGAAATAATATAGGGGTAGAATTTCAAGTCTTTGGGTTCAAGGAAAAGTTTGCCTCCAGGAAGACAGAGTTTTAGGGCTTTATATGGCTAGTGAGGCCTAAATAAATTATGCAAAACAGATGTATATAAGAGAAAACATTTGCATAATATATACACATTGTATAGAAAAATGTAAGTGGTAATCTTTATGGAACCATAGATATGAAGCTGTTGTTAAATGGATTAGATGCAGGTTCAGGACAGAAAATACGTCATATGTTACAACATCCATCAATGTTGTAATGTTTCTAAGATTGGTTGCTGAGGTGTCTTTAAAAGGAGATTGGACAAATTAACAGAGGAAGTAAAGTGAATAAATGGGATATCACCTAAAAGAAATCTCCAATCTCTAGAATTGTCTCTAAACTACTAGCTACTACTGTTGCTTTCAAGACCTGTTTGTGGCTAGATTCTTATTGGATATAAAATGCTGGACTTGGTCAACCGACCTTGATATTTCTGATTTCATAAAATTGTAGAATTATAATTGAAGGGAGATATTTTAGGCCAATAAGTCCAACTCCCTCCTCTATGCAAAAATTGGAATTAGGACATCTGTGACAGATGGCTGTCTAGGCACCATTTGAACACATTCACTGAAGCGCTCACCATGTCTCTGATAAATGACTCTACTGTTGTACTGTTCTTAATGTTGGGTATTTTTCCTAATATTCAGCTAGCATCTTCCTTCATGTAACATAAATACATTATTCTGTATCTTGCACTCTGGAACACTTAGTCTTGGCCTTTCTCTGTATGACATCCTTTCAAGTACTTAAAGAAGCCCATCATGCCTGTCCACTCCAGTCTTCTCAAGGATAAACATTCCTAGGTCCTTCAATCTCTCTTCCCAGGACTTAATTTCTAGTCTTCTGATCATCTTCATTCTTTTCCCTGAACCTTTTCCAGTTTCCCTGAATCCTTAAAATATGGTGCTCCTTAAAAATTAAATTTTACAATACTTATGGTGAGGGAACAATAACTTTCCATTATTTAATATCTATACTATTGTAGATCTAGCTTAAAATTGCACTTACGGTTTTGGCAGCTACATTACACTGCTTGGTCATACTTAGTTTGCCGGCAACTTCTGTTCCAAGATCTTTTCACAGGTACAACTACCAAGCCAGATATACCTCTGTATTTGATTTTTATTTCCCAGGGGAAGAACTTTGCATTAGTCTCCATTAAGTTTAATTCTTTTACTTTCAACCCATTATGCTAACATATCAAATTATTTTATTTCTGCTTCCAAGATATTCGTTATCCCACTCAGTTTTGTGTCATCTGCAAATTTGATAAGCATATCTTCCAGCCCTTCATCCAAATCATTCATAAAAATGTTGAAGAGTACAGAAATTAGGACTGAAGCTTATGTTGTCTTTAAGTTATTGATCTCTCTGGATCAATAAGTTTATAAGCACTCTTTAATGTGATTGTGAGTCATCTGTGTATTCATTTGTCATGTTATGCAGCTTACTCTTAACAAGCTTGCTAATGAGAATATTATGAGGTATTTTCTCAATCCTTTGTTGAAATCAAGATATATTATTCTCACAGTCTACTGAGAAAGTTACCAAGTTTATGAAAGGGATAAGATCAGTTTGACAAAACTTGTTAACAAATCCACGCTGACTTCTGGTAACCAATACGTTGTTTGCAAGAGGCTGATTGATTATTCAATTTTTACCCCCCTCAGCATGATTGGTCCTTAATTTTTCTCAAGGCCTTTTGACTCTCTTACTCTTGTACATGCATTTTTGTGTTTCTCTTGTACATGCATTTTTGTGTTTTGTTTTTTCCCTTTCTCCAGGATTTGAGTTCTTCGAGGCCAGCGCGAAGGACAATATTAATGTGAAGCAAACCTTTGAACGTTTGGTGGATATCATTTGTGAAAAGATGTCCGAGTCACTGGATGCAGCTGATCCAGCTGTGACCGGTGCTAAGCAGGGCCCGCAACTGACCGATCAACAAGCTCCCCCACACCAGGATTGTGCCTGTTAAGAGACTTTGGTGTGGATGCCCCAACTTTTCCTGTCCCACCCACCTTGCCTGCCTCATGTCTTGCAGTAATCAGAGCCCCTAGATCCTTGACAGTTTGTGCTCTCTGTCTTCCCTACCACCACCACACACACCATTTAGCTATCCCATTGCTTATCCTTTTGGGGTAGGTGGCCGAGACTCAAACCCAGAGCTTTTACGCCTCTCTGTGTGGGCCTTTGAATGCTTCAAAAGTTATTCCCTTTAACCTTTGGGTGAATAGGCTGTACCTTTCTATATGCCCCCTCCCCTGGGTCCAAGCTGAGAGTCTTTTTTGGTGAGTGTGAAAAGGGGATGGGGGCAGAGCTGAAACTTTTAACTGTTCTTAGTGGGTTTTATTTATTTATATATTTATAATGTTCCCGTTTACACATTTGAACACCTTTTCCCTCCTCCTCCTTCATAACTTAAGGGCCACGGTCACCCCGCATTTCCTGCACTTGGTATTGACAAAAATAGGTCGAAGCTGATGTCCGAGACTCAATTTGACAGTGTCTTCACAGGAAGGAAAATATATCTGTCGGGAGCATCTGTCCATTTCCTCCTGACCACTGATCATGGGCTGTAGAGAAAAAAAAAATTGTTCAGGCAGACTGCATTAGCTGGAAACTATCTCATTACCAGCTCTGAATTGGGCTATGTTTTGTAATGCTGCTAAGTGAGGTTAACCTCAAAACTCCTTGTTTAGCCCCAGTTTGTGCCTGCTTCTTGCATGCTGTTTCCTCTACTATGAATGAAAATAATAGGTTTGAAGGTGAATGCCTTTCTTCACAGAATGGCAGGAATTTCCAACTTAAAACTGTACCTCTTGCCGTGCTGGATTCTTAGGCATTAAGATCACTCTAAGTCTAGCTGTACCAGGTCACTTAGCACAGGGTTCCTCAACCTCAGCAACTTGAAGATGGGTGGACGTCCACTCCCAGAATTCCCCAGCCAGCCATGTTGTGTGTGTGCATATGCCAGCTGGGGAATTCCGGGAGTGGAAGTCCACCCATCTTCAAGTTGCTGAGGTTGAGGAGCCCTGACTTAGCAAGAAGAGGCTTGCATGAGAATATCTTTTTCTATTCAATAGAAGGGGAGGGAACCCTCCCTGTATTTAGAAAATGACCATGTTTGGAGAAAGGATAGACTAGATCCTTTTGCTCAACCAGCCAGGAATTTGTAATGGTGGGATTGCTCCACCACTTCCAGTGGCATAGCCTGCACCCAGATTTCCCAGCTCCTCTCCTTGAGAAAGACAGGGCTACATTGGAACCAACTCTCACTGGCTGGCTGGTCATAGCAAAGAGGTGCCCTTAGGGCTATGTGTGGCAAAGCTCTTCACCTGCCCAGTGACTCTGAAGGTGAAAGCAGTTTGGAGAGTATCCCCATTCTGCTGCCAGTCTGTTGCCCTGCAGAAGATGGTTCTCCCTCTTTCACCTTGCTGAGTGGATAAACACCTGCTGTGCTTGCTCCTCTGCCTGTCTTCCTCTGTGTACAGAAAAAGAAAAAGAAAAAAAAAAAGCAATCTCTCCAGTTCCATGTAAATAGAAGTAGCTGGTGATGTTGTGTGTGCGCGTATGGACCTTTCATTGCTGTGTTGTGATTTGTGTTGGTGTTTTTAGTTTATGTTATTTTTAAAATAAGCCGCCCTACCTGATGGGTTTTCATGGAACTATGTATTTATTTAAAAAGAGAAAGGTGGAGAGGCAGTTGGAAAACCCATCTTGGCTGATCTAAAAACCAAATGAGAAAATCAAAGGGTTCTTTGTCATTTTGGAATGGTTTCTCCACTGCCTTCCCTTCATAAACAGACCTGAGCTTTGTGGGGGGTTGAGTTGAACCTGACGTTGGTTTGAGTCATACATTCCCCTCAGTCCAGCATCCTTTTTCCCTAGCGTGGACTGCGGCAGGTCGGGGTTGAATTCTGTCAACAGCCACTGTTGTCCTACGCATACCTGTATTCCTGCTCCCCCTTTTCCATTGCTATCCTTAATTTATTTTTCATGGAAGCTCTGTAAGGTTTGTTTTACAAATTCCTGGACACAATATGCCCTCTCTCTTTCTCTGTTTCTGTCTTTCTCTCTCTCTCTCTCTTTTATTTTTTTTTGGTGAAGTTTACTTCAATGGAAAAAAATATGCTGTACTGTATTTAAAAAAAAACCTGTCAGAAGTGTCAAAATAAATAAATTCAGTTTCCTAAAACAAGCAAACAAAAATCACTGTACTAAGGAGATATTGTGAAGAAATAAAATGGTTAATCACAAAAGCATTTGATGTCAGAGTTCCTATGAAGGAGATACAATATAATTTTGTCAGAAACAATGATACTGTAGGGATCAGGGGAAACTGTCACGGATGTGGATAAAAACTATTTTCTGAATCTATCTCAGAAGATGATTGAAAGAGGCGTTTATACCTACTCAGATTCACCAGATTCATTGATAAGGAAATATAGTCTTGTGTGGAGGAATAATTGTGCACAGTTCTGTCTAAATAGTTGGCTGTATCTTCTTGCAGATAGAAAGACTTGGTGGTTACAGTTTATCATTGTATTTCAGGGAGGTGCAGAATTGACCTTTTCAGAAGAATCAGTATTCTGGAGCCTCTGGAATATTCCATTTCTCTTCTGGGCCATATCAATCTGCCCACTGTAGCTGTGGTCCAGCAGTTTTCCAAGAAGTTAATTCTCTTAATCAGAATGGTAAACTTTGCATAGATCAGCATAGCATTTATATCCATCCCATCTTCTCTCTCAGGTAAGATGAGTACCCTGGGGCAAGTCTCCCAGTTTATTCTCAACAATCCTGTAGATATGTTGGGCTGAGTAAGGAGCTCAGGATCATGTGGTGAGCTCTGTGGTTGAGTGAGGACTTGAGTCTAAGTCTCCTCTGTCCAAATCTAGCATCTTAACCACTGGAATATTGGTGAAAAAGTTCCTAAGAGGGACACAACAGGGACTTCTAAAATTAGGCATAGTATGTATAGTCTAGTTTGGTGTAATGGTTAAGGGATTGGCTAGAAACTGAGAGATGGTGAGTTCTAGTCCTGCCTTAGGCACAAAGCCAGCTGGGTGACCTTGGGCCAGTCACTCTCTCAGCCCCAGGAAGCAGGCAATGGGAAACCATTTCCAAAATCTTGCGAAGAAAACTGCAGGGATAGTCGAGGCAGTCACCAGGAGTCAACAATGACTCAAAGGTACAAAATAATAAAATAATGAAGTAGTCATCCAGTGGAAAAATTATTAGTATCCATTATGAGTCCTTCACACAATGTATAACTAGTTTATAGAACTGCAAGCTGATGGAACAATTAATAGTTTCAACCACTTCACAGCCAGGGTTATCTAACAATGGCTGTGTAAACTAATTTTGGTCAGAGGCAGCTGATAGGGGGACCAACACCAGCTTCCTAGAGATATCTGTTAATAATTAACTGAATAGACACTTGATCCAACAATGTTCTCATGCATTCAAAACCACCTCAAAGTGCACCACAGAGACAGCCTCAATATTTCAAGGTAAATCCAAATTCCACATGTGGTTCTGATCTGACAAGTGAAACATGCATAGAAAGTTTTCCCCCAGGCAGATTTCCTTTACTGAATCAATACAAAGTGCTTTGATCAGCTGAGAAATTACCTTCCAGACCCATTCATTCCATTAATTGGTTACATCAGCCAAGAATATTTTGAAAGCTCTTGAACTAGAATCGAAAGAATCAGTGAAGCTGGAAAGCCAAGTCTCCTGCATCTGAATTCAGTGAAACAGTGCAGTAACTGGTGAACTATAGGACAGCAAGTTTAAGGGAAAGGGAAAATTTGTTCCTAATTTATCATCCTTTTAAAATGTTTTCAGCTTAATTAATATCCCACGTTCCTATTCACATGGAATGCACATGGTGACTAACAGCAGATAAATACAAAGATTAACATTGGTATTAAAATTATTAATCATTAAAGGGCTAAACAGAAGAAATGCATCTTGGGACCATTCTACATAAGGACTTTGCACCAGCTCAGAATTCTCCAGAACTCTGTCTTCAGGTGGCATTGGCTCATTCTGAGAGCTGAATTGTCTTGCAAAACTAGTCTTTTCTTTTGCAATGTTGGAGGCTATGGGTACTTTTTTTTTTCCATTGGCAGATACTTTTGCATTTCCCACTACCCAAGCTTCAGTAAGCTATTCTGTTTCAAACCAATGGGGGTGGGGTGTCTCACAGCCTGGTGATTGCACACAAGCTATGGAAAAGAAATGGAAAACAAACCCTCACAAAACTTCCCAGCAGTGTACATGTGGGATGAAGTAGGAGGAACCATAGCATTTTCCTTTTAAATGGAGAAGTTGTATTTTTTTCTGGGACTCGCAGCTGCTCATGGACAGGTTTCTGATTGATTTTATTTTTGCACACCTATAGTTTGCAACCCTTCATGGGTCACTACCTTGTAGAGATGCCATGAACTATTTATTTATTTATTAAATTTATATGCCGCCCATCTCCCCCACACTATACTTTTGAGTGTATACAGTCCCAGAAAAGTTGCCTAATGGGCAGGTCATAGACAAAGGATCACACTAGAAATGATTTACTGGAGAAAGAAATGGCAAGCCCACTCCATTGTTCTGCCAAAAAAACCCCAAATAGACATTTATAATTAACATGATAGTGAAAAATGACACCCCACCACCACCACCCAGAAGGTATCCAACAAGCTATTTGGGAAGAGCACAGAGCACAAATGCAATTATTACTGGTGCTTATGATACCACTGGATGTTCACTTGCTGCTAAAATGATGTCCATCAAGAGCTGTAAGTGACTGACAGATGGAACAAAAGTATGGGTCAGTTGGAAGTACTGGTTGATTTATGGTTTCTCAGCATATTTCCTACAATTTTTGCTGACTGTCAAAGCAAATTGCAGGTTGGTTTCAAACTGCTTTGGAGGAATTGGAAAATGAAAATAGTGAGGTTTTGGAAGTACCCTTGTGCCAGGTTTTTTGGCAGTTGCCTTGATCGAAAATAATTCTTTCAGGTAAGACTGTGACAATCTTTAACAAGATTCATTGAGAGGAAAGAGACAGAGGTACAGTAATTCCAGCAACTGAACTATTTCCAATTTAGAATACATTTATCCCCAAATACATTAGGGTAGAGATTTTCTTTTCATTGATAGCAGAGGCCCTTGCAGGTAGCTATTTACAAAATCATCTTTGAAATCCTTATCAGCCTTTTCAGGGTGGCCTCCAATTACAGCAGATGAGACACAACAAAAATATGGATAACTGTTGCCAAATCCAGCTGGCTAACAAACAATTGCGACTGATACACTTAGCCTGATTGTGGAAATGCACCTTTTGCCATTGATTTCTCTGGAGAATCTCCTGGGAATCACAATCCACAAGTAACCTGTGGACCTACTATTTTAGGAAGGAGTGCAGCATCATTCAGTACACTAAATCACAATACCAATATTTCTTATTAACCAAAAGCACATCCATCTTGTCTGCGTTTAATTTCAACTTGTTCTCCCTGATCCAGTCCATTGCTGACTAAGCAATCTTCAAGGGTCTGTGCTACTTCTCTGAAGTTGGGTGGCAAGACACAAGAGAACTAGGTATCAGCATATTAACTGCAACCCACTCCAAAGTTCCAGACAATCTCCCCTGACAGTTTGATCTATACAGCAAATACAGCAGATAAGATGAAGATGAATAAGTTCAATAAAAGTCCGGATATATTGCAAACAAACATTTCCCTGATGTATTCCTGTAATCCACTTAAAGAAAAAATGGAGAATTGAAAAACTCCCTTGCTTTAGAGTCCCTAAGCTGCACTCTCTCTCTCTTGGTTTTAAGCCTTTTTGTATTTTATCTTCTGCAGCACTGCTTATTAGCATAACAATTAGAACACAATCTAGTTCCCCATATTTGAACTTGCAACACAGAATTGTGGGATGATGTTTTCTAGAAAGGATCTAGTTTACGATCCTAAGATGAATTTCCTTTTATTTTTCTTGCACCACAGCACTTTCTTAGCATGTCTGACTCTCCTGTTGCCTAAATAGTTATTCCTTCCAAAACAGATGCATTCATCCTCCAAAGAAGGAACTCAGTTGCTAATTCAAACCATCTGGAGACCATCAACAGTTCTCAGGTATGGCCACACCTCTGGAATACACCACCCCTGGAAATACACTTGACATCTTCACTGTTGGCTTTTAGAAACCTCTGGAAAACTTTCCCTTTCCAGCTTCCTTTGAGGCTTAGTGGAGAAGGAAGATGGCCATATTTTCTTTGTCCGTAACTGTTTTTATTGACATGATTGATTTTAAGATTGCTGTTGAAATTCTTGAACACCATCCAGAATCATGAGATTGGGGTGGTACAAAATTAAGTTAATAAATAAATACATTAGAAAAATCAATAATTTGGCACTTTTAACGACAAATTACGAGGGACAGCACTTCTGCTGGCTGCTGAAGCTGCTTCAACCCATACCAACTTTGCCAAAGGAAAAGTGCTCTGAGCCTTCAGTCTTGCTCTCGTTACAGAGTTTTTGACAAGGAAAATCAGAATTGCTTGCAGAAAACATGGTATATCAGGCACCAGTTCCTGTGTAGCACAATTCAAATAGTATTTCTCAAAAAAGATGCCAGATTACTTCTAGTTTTAAAAAACAAAGTAGTTTGGTTATTGACACTTTTCATCCAGTAGTTTGGATCTCAGTGGTGCAAGGTTTAGAATCTTCATCCAGGCTAAGCGATGGCTCTTTATTCTAAACAAAAGGGGGGGAAAGCATTCAATTAGTTTTTTAATTACAAGCTTGTAGTGTATCAGAGCCACGTAGGTTTTTTCCATTTTTAATTTGACTTGTGATATTTGATGATGAACAAGTCCTTCAAAGAAAACTGCTGGATAGTGCAGGAATGAATCCCAGGAAATGGGTTCACACAAGCCACTTGGTTAAATCTTAGTTCATTAAATAAATCATTACTGGCTAAAATATATATCACATAAAGCAAGAAATCATGTTTCTAATTAAAAACAATCTCCATAGTTGTGTTCACACAACATGCTAAGCCAAACAAAACAAACCACATTAACGTATGAGCTCAACTACTAAAATGGGGATGGAGAAGCTGAGGAAAATGCTGTGTTTTCTGAAATTATCACAGGAAGACTAATTGTGCCCCATTAATAGGCAGCCCCAACATCACCATTGATACCTATTCCTTTTGAGGATGTTGCTTAATGGTAGAACAGAGGATCTGAATACAGAAAGGCTCCAATTTACTTGTTAGCAGCCGCCATAAAAAGAGGTTAGAGAAGAGGGCTTACTCAGCACAACTTTACATTCCACCCTGTATTTCAATCTGAATTACTTCCCACCCCAGTTATTTTAGTGAGCTCTACTCACACGATGCTTGAGGTATGATAGGTAAGTATCCCATCCAAGAGTGATGACATTCATGTAGATCACTCGGTACTTGGGTGACACAAAAAGGAAATTGATCAGTTGGGTTGGTGGCCACACACACCAGTCCATCTGCAAGCAGAAAAAAACAAGTTAGTTGCTCCATCAACAAACTCAGGGTCAGAAAGTAGGGGACATGAACTATGTTTACCTTGTAGAATTCCCAAAAGTTGTCTTCCAATTCATGCCAGCTTTGCTCCAGAGTTTGTCCTTCTAAAGATCCAATCCCTGCAGATAATAAAAAGGCAGATGGAAATATGGGAGCATGTGCCTTGGCTATTGGGAACTAAAGGAACTGTAAATTATTCACAGGAAGCCAAGCACAGAAGGCTACCACAGAAACACCACACCCTCTGTTTTGCTACCCCCATGCAAGATCTGTGGCAAAGCCCCAAATATTTTCCCATCTGTGACCAAATCATTTTTGCCCTCAGTAGAATAGAAATTCTCTTGTAGCTTTAGTTTAGTCTTACCTATGAAATACCAAACCCCAAAGACTGGAGAGGCAACAATCTGATCAATTAAAACTTTTTTCAGGACAGTCCTGATGCCGCTGAACCCAGCAGCAGGGAAGGCCCGGTCAAGCCACAGGTACCAGTAGTGCATCATTGGGCCCATGCTGCAGCCAATGGTGAACATTCGTGCTGAAGGATAAAAGTTGCTCCATTAGCAAAACACAAAGAATCCATCATTTTGTGAGCTGTTACAAAAACAAAAGAGGAGAACCTGTGTGTCCTCTTATTTTTTATTTATATCTAGATTTATATGCTACAGCAACTCTGGGTAGCTAATGACAGATAAAAACACCATACAGCTAAAAAACCAAAAACAACTAACTCATCCCATGACAAAATAAAGCTATCAGGTTTAGGGTGCAATAATCTTAGAGGGCAGCTAAGTGATACGGAAAACTAACTCTTTGCTGCCATCTAGAGGTTGTGTACAGTTTTATAGCTTAGATATGATAGTTCTATGGGAGAGAAGACAGAAGCAGGGCAGTCAAAAAATGAATGACAAAAGGTGAGTTTGGCATACAGTGGGCTGGCTGGAGGGCAAACTTTAAAACCTGCAGTGTCTGGGACCACTCCAGACGTCTGGCCACTCCATTTTCAAGATTTAATGGCTGTGCTCAATAGCATAACTCCTACTGAATATGAAAACTCAAAGTAAGGGATAATTAAAAGAGGACATACATAGTTCAGAAGGAGAGAGAATCACTTTATTTTTTATTTAATTAGGATTAACGAACATTATCAACTAACTAACAAAAATCCATGATCATAAATAAAATATAGAATACAAAAAATCTACTAAAAAGTAAGTAAAGGGACAGGTATTTACAAATTTACCATATATCTAAAATATTACCATATTATAGTCTATAGCTATTGACTATAATAATAGTTCCCTATTTTTAAGCTTGAGATTCAGTCCTGAAAATAAATGCAGCCAGTCTAATTCTGAGAATTCAATTCTTTGTTTAGTAATGGTACTTATCTCCCCAAAAATTTTACACCAAAAGGGAATAGCTTTATCCTATGGCCACCACAAATGGAAGAAAGATCTTTTTTTTTTTTTTTTTACAACCTCTCTAACATTTGGAAGAATCACTTTATTTATTCTGCTTTTTATGTACTGAAACAGATTCTCAGTGAGTTACAATCTCAACAATGAAACATCCATGGTATAAATAATTTTACATCATAGTAATTGCTGCATGGATAAAATCATAAAATGTCCAATCAAAAAGCAATAAAAACAGAAGGTAATATTCATAACTCAAAGGTCCTCTTAAATAGTTTTCTCCCTGGTTATATCTGCCTCTCCCATCAGGTCCAGCAGAAGAGGCTGTATATTAAGGAATCTGCCGTGGCACTCGCCCATGGAACATCATCCCCCTGGAGCCTAGGTGGCCCCAACCCTACTTGCCTTTCAGAAGGCTCTGAAGACATGGTTTTGCTATTGTGCCAGGGGATCCAGCTGTGGTGTGAAGCCTGCTAGATGGTTGTACTGACTGACATAGGACTTGTACTTTCCCGCTGATTACGTTTTATGGTTTTTAATTTGGTTTTAATGTTTTTATTTGTTCTCATGTTATTTGTATTCTGTTTACTGTTTGTTGTGGTTGCTTTTAATTATGTGAGCCACCCAGAGTCACAAATGTGAGATGGGTGGCTACACAAATTGAATAAATAAAAATGTCCTGAAACCGAACAAGGTAGGAGCTCAGTGGATTTCAGGGGGCAGGGAGTTCCATAGCAGTACTGCCACTACAGAAAAACATTTCAGGCCTTCATCCCCCTAATCTCCTGGAAATGAGGACTAGTAATAGATTTTCCAGGGAGCTCTTCATTCAGGTGGGTTGAAACTGAGTGGAGATATCCTAGAGATACCTCAGTGTCAAACCACAAAGGGTTTTAAAGGTCAAAACCAGCAGTTAACATAAACTGACCTGTCCGGGTACGATCCCATTTCCGTTTAGGGTCCTGCCTCATCTCCCAAGATTGGCGAAGTGTGTCTCCTGCTGCTAGAAGCCCCCCACAGCTGACAGTGTTGGTTACCAACAGGAGGCGGCCTTTGAAGAGAGGCTTCCAGTAGACAGAAAGTCCAGTGAAAAGTTGCCTGCCACGAGCAAGCATGGCTGTTCTGGTGCCAAGTCTGAGGTTGAGAGGGAACTGCAGGAGGAAAGCAAAATGAAAAACATGTTTCCGAGAGCCAAGCACATTTGCATCTGTTGCCTAATCACTCCACACCTTAAGTAATTCTATGCATCTTTCCTTGAATTAAGTCCCCAAAGGATTTGTGCTGAGTAAAAGGATTAATGGTGGGCTCCCTGAAGACTACTGATTTCCTTCTCATGCCAAAGGCACTACAGGTAGTCCTCGTTTAGTGACCATTCACAGTTACAACAGTGAAGAAAATGTAACTTTGCAACCAGTCCTCACATTCATGACCTTTGCAGGTCTGTAAAGCAAAGGAAAGTTGAAGTAAGATCATAAGCACAGTTATGGTTTCATTCAGCGACCCCTTTGCTTAACAACCAAGTTGCCAGTCCCAATTGTGGTCACTAAATGAGGACCACCTGCATGCTGTTGACACCTGTAGACAATTCATGTAAAACCAACACATTGAGAATTTTTCCTCTGGGCAGTGCTAGGAGGAGCAACTCCTGCTTGCTGTACAGCAAGGAAGGGACTCAACCATGCTTTCCAGGATACTCAGTCTTGAATCATACTTTTCAAATTTAGCTCAACTGTTGCAATCTAATCTTGTTATAATGTATAGATCTTCCTGGACACTGTTTCAGATTTTGAAGCACTTGTTAAATTGTTGCTGGAGATTATAATTCCAACAGACCAATGTTTCTTAAAGTGTGGTCCTAGAACTCCTGGGGGTCCCCCATGAACCCTCTCAGGAGTCTGCAATATCAAAATTATTTGCCAGACTATGTTGAAAAATAATACATTATTAAAATGCCATCAAATGATTGCAAGAAGCAGTAGCGCCAGCAAATGCATCAATTTTAATTTTTAACATGGTAAATATCAATAAATATAACCCATACTGTACAAACAAAAGCTCTTTTGGGGTCCTCCATAATTTTTAAAAGTGGGAAGGGGTCCTGAGAGAAAAAAGTTTTAAAAACACTGCAATAGACAATAACGGAGGAGGCATCGCCTTTTGTGAACAAGCCCCGTACTGGGTACCTTGAGACACAAGCACCCGGGTGCACTCTGCTCATGCCCAAAGGCACAACTTTGTCCACTATGCGAGAGGAGACATACACGTACCGTATGAAGAAGAACCTGCACGTGGCCAGCGACACCCGTTCTGGAACTGGACTTTGCCCAGATGCCCCGAGGCTGAACGCGGACACCATACGGCTCCTCACTAAAGGCAGAGAAGCGCAAGAAGGTCTTGGTTCAACCCTCTTCCCAATAGCTCAGCCTTTGCCGCGGCTGCTCACCGGTTAGTCGAGGGTTGCGCTTCTTTGCGGCAGTGGAAGGGCCGAGCACGAAGGAAAGCGGCGAATGAACCGGCCGGCTCTGCAAGCCGGCGAGGGAGAAAGGAAGAGCGAGTCACGTGGGCGAGTTGCCTCGCTATTACAGCTACTAGGGCGGAGAAGTTACTAAGACGAGAGCGGCATTCTGCGCATGCGTCACGCCCCGCCGCCGACCGAACCCCGAGTGAGCCGGAAGTGAGAATTTCCTGCTGCGAAATGAAGTGACAGAGAGATGAATGAACCGAGACACTCCCTGAAAGTGGGTCGCTCTAGCTTCGATGCTTCCGCCTTTCGGGAGGCTCAGGGTGGCCCCTTCCAACTGGGCGCCGGGGCGCATGCGCATGGGTTTATTTGTTTGATAGGTGGGGAAGTCGTGAATTTGTTCGACGGAAATGGCGGGAAAGGCGCCGCTCGGCGGGTGAGGAGTGGAGAGAAGGACAGACGGCGGCAGTGGGTGGGTTTGGGTTTTGATTTTGATTTTCCTTCACCCAAGTTCATTTGTCTTTCTAGGGAGCCTGGCACGACTGAGATGGAGACGGGTGCCCGACCGAAACAGAGAGGTAAGTAGTGGCATTGGAGAGTAGATATAGTGGTCACAACCAGCAGCTAATCCGCTGCACATCGTGTGTTTACACATAATTTATATAGGACAGGAGTCGTTCTGTGGAGCCAAGAGTGGTTTGTGCTTGGTCTCAACACTGTTCCCATAAAGTTTTCCCGAGTCTCTGGAAAAGCTGGTTCTCTCATGGTTAGTAATAGCAAAAAATGCAAATTTCATCTAATTGTTTCTCTTGCTTTTTTTCCTTTGTTAGGGGGAAGAATTGTGCCATCCCGTTACCTGCAGTATGATAAAAAAGCAACTGGAAAGGTGAGGTCTGCATTTGTTGTTGTTGTTTAGTCGTTAAGTCGTGTCCGACTCTTCGTGACCCCATGAACC